GCAGCCGCAGCCCAGCCGCAGCCGCAGCAGCAGCAGAGACGTCTACGATGCGCGTCAGCCTGAGCCGCCCCCCGCCCCTCCGCCCCCCCTCTCCTTTCATCTAATTGTCAAAGTTGATGGAGGAGGCAGAGAAGTCTGTCCCCCCGGGCCTGCCCTGGGGGATGGGGAATAAGCCCCCCCTGTAGATCTTGCGGTTAGGGACACGGTGGGGGGCCCCCTGCGTGCATATTGATCAGGATGCATGCATCTCCCAGGCTGTAGGGCTGCCCAGGAGGGATGCGTGCCCCGCAGACACCTGTATCCTGGCTGGGGATGCAGAAGGAAACCGAGGCAGGAGGCAGGCACGCGTCTCGGGGCCAAGAGAGCCAGGCGCGTGCACAGGCGTTTGCAGAAGAAACACAGTGTTTGTGCCTGAAGTGCAGGAGATAGGGCTTGAGAAATAACAGGCGGGTTTTTTTTTCTTTTTCTTTTTTCTGGACACAAGCAGAGGAAATGGGTGGCAAAGAGTCCAGAGAGGAAGGAAAGAAATCCTAAAAGGTCTAGAGGTTGAAGAAATTAAGGGAAGGCAGCATTTTTTTTTTTTTTTTTTTTTTGCACCAGGAACCGTTCCGAGCCTCGGCCGGGATGGGAGAGTTAGGGTTGGTTTCTTCCTGGTGTTTTTCATCTGTTGCAGCGCGGGAAAGCAGCTGTGAAAATAAACAGCGAAGGCGGGAAGGAATACAGCGGGCGAACCTGCAAGATCCCAGGTTAATGTACAGGGCCATGGTCGGCAGACTGCGGCTCGCGAGCCACATGCGGCTCTTTGGCCCCTTGAGTGTGGCTCTTCCTAAGCCTTGGGAGTACCCTCATTAAGTGAATCACAATGTACCTACCTATATAGTGTAAGTTTAAAAAATTTGGCTCTCAAAAGAAATTTCAATCGTTGTCCTGTTGATATTTGGCTCTGTTGACTAATGAGTTTGCCGACCACTGGTATAGGGGGAAAAAACAGCGACACGTGAAGCAGCTTAAACCCGGGGGGGGGGGGAGAGAGAGAGAGAGAGAGAGAGAGAGAGAGAGAGAGAATGAATGAAAGGAGCCAAGAGGAGGCCTCCGTATGACTTGGGAACACTCCACCGCTTCGTGCCAACAAGTCCTCCTGCAATGGTTTTCTAGAAATACACAAAACACTAACTCTTGAGGTGGTTTCATTTAGAAGGGATGAGTCTCAGTCCTGGGGTGAGAGTCCAGAGTGACCCCCCCCCACAAAAAAGAGAAAGACAGAAAAAAAAACCCATATGAAAAAGGCCACCAGGGGGCATCAGAGAGTGGAGAGGGCTCTACCCCACGCCCCCTGAATGGATACCCCTGGCCAGTGTTTCTCAAATTTGGGGAGTTTCTGAGTCCCCACGAAAGCGTAGTAGACACTCCCAAGTCCACCGGGCGAGTCGGGGCCACACGTTTTCGGTAGACACTGGCCTTATTTCATGACAGAGCCATTTGGGAAGGAGGTACCAGTGGTTTTAATGATGATCCAAGGAATGAGAAATCGGGGTTGTTCTCTCTAAATGTTTTCATGGTGCCCCATCCTGGGATACGGGCACGCTTCGGGTTTCTGGGTCCCTCTCGTGGGTTAATCGTCCACACCAGACC